CGGGGGAGGAGGGGTTATTAGCCTGAGACTTTATGCCATGCTGAGGTTTGATGATGACAGAGAGTGTGACTGATAGGTCAGTGGGATGGAAGGAGGTACAGCAAAGGTGGGTGGACGTGAAGATACTAGGTGACCATGCCTTAATTCTAGACAGATGTGATGTATGATACAAATCTGCATACATGTGTTAGTCATTACGCGCTGCTTTGGTAGAGCTGTATTCTTTGTGGCACCAAATGTTAACTATGAGCATTTATACAATCATTAAAATGTGATGATTTTGATTCACAAATCATAGAATAGCTGTTTGCCATTATATACATGTGTTACTACTGAGATGCATCTGCTTGTTTCCTGAACATAGATATAGCATTGATTTCATCATGAAACTATTCAACTGTACACAGAGAGGTGCCTTAGAGACTGAAGCATTTTAGCGCTTGTCACACCTCAGCTACATTAGAAATGAAAAGTGTGCATTCTTTAAAATCCCAATCATTTGTCAAATGATTCATATTCACCTGGAGAAGAGAGTGTGCGTTATTCTAATTCAGCAGGTGTTAGCGCAAAGCAAGTCAGCAGTAATGGAAAAGTAGTGTGCCACATCCAAATTATCCAGGTTGTCATCACTGAAGAACAGCAGCAGCATTTTCATTTGCCTTTTTTTAACCAGTAGTGTCATCAGCAGGCCAGCAGGACAAAAAGTCCTCTGTCAGATTTCTAATGTAACAGCTGATCAGAGATATATTTTACTTAAGGTTTTCAAGAAACGCAATCGCCAGCTTGCCAACCCTGAGAGCTTATTTATTCTAGCTATTGATAATGTGCCAGTTTATTGATTATGTGAAAAACTCAACTCTTTTATCACATTTACTGTTTTCAGATCAGAGCATTTTGCAAAGCATTAATTAATGAAAAAAATAATGTTGATATACACCCAGATTTACTTAACCAAAATGCACCGTTGCCAAAAAGCTAATTTAAGACAATATTACAATCAAATAAAAACCTGTAGCAACGTTAAAGTATTCATAAATGACCACTAAACACATCATTTCAGGTCCAATATTCCATCAAACCGCAAGAAAACCCCTGATTTGCAGCGCTGTTACGCTTTCAACCACAACTGAGCAGAGAGGCAGTTAGTTTGAGATGCCTTGGGGAAACCGGACCCTGGTCAGAGCTGTAGTGGGAGAAACTGAAACTGCCGGGCTGAGGGGCTGCGGAGCTGGCTCTGGTTCGCTGGCGCCACATCCCCCTGAGCTGGTGAGAATGTGGGGGCTGCGCTCTTGCCTTTGAAGCTTTACCTCCCACTAATTCTGGCCTTCCAATTTCCACACACTGCACAGACACCCCCCCTCCATCCTCTCCCCCTCCCTTTCCCTTTGTTTCCCTTATAAGGACTGGCCCGGCCATTTCCTCAGCTTTTCTGTGGGAGGTGGTATGCTTGTTTGTGAACATGGACAGGTCAGGAGAATAGCAGCATAGTTTTTATTTTCATAGATGAGCAGTCACAGGAATCCTGTGCTAAAAGCCGGTGGATGCATCTCTGTCCAGTGGGGAGTCTCTTAGCCGGCGTACCCTCCTCATAAGCCCCACCGCTCTATTTAAGCTCATGTTTTGTCGCTCTACAGGTTTGGCCTTTAAAAGTAATAGGATATAATATATTTGTAACACAATGATAGCAATCAAAAGACATGCTTAGTTAATAAAAACAAAACTTCCTTTGTTCTGCCTCTGGGTTTTTGGCCGTATTTTCTTCAGCTAAATCAGATTGTTTTGTGAGAGTCTAATAAGAAACACACTCTGTGTATCACGCTCGATCAATGAGCATGTAATTGTTAGTCAATAAATGCAACATTTCATAAATGACTAAACTGCAGTCAGGGCAATACAATTAATGTATAAAGTCGGTCTCAAATAGTGCTTATTAAAATTGCATTTATAACAGATAAATACTGGAGATGACTCAAATAAAAATGACTAACTTTACCTTAACATTTTTTTATTTAAATCTGAGAGTTATGTCATTTGTGTTCACAAAGCACAGATTGGTAGATCAAAAGGTTCCACTGGGAACCATCAAGAGGGAAATAAGGTAACACATTAGGACATTAAGGAGCGCAACCACATCTGCAATTAAACACAAACTAGTGTGCGTTTGTTTAACGAGATATAGCACACACAATCACATATTTTCATGTACAATGCAGCATTAAGCGTACAATTAAGAATGTTAAACATAACACCAATTTGGTTTAAATTGGAAAAGATGTGTGATTTATAAACAAATGTCTTAAGATTTAGAGGGGTAACAACAATTGAGGGAATACAAAATAAAGAATTATTTTGAGTGCGTTTAGGGGCCCCCTTTTCTGTTTAATTGGATATAAACATTGGAGTGGTCCTTAGTGCCATGTACATTTTCAAATTCATTTATTTTAAGCTCCAACCACCGGAATTTGTTATGATAGTCAAGAAAACTCTCCTGGTGAATTTTATTCAAATTCCAACAACATTTACCCCTCTCTCATCAACCTTGAAGTTTAGCCTCAGTAGGAATATTTGGATAATAAACATGAATAAACGTGGTACTTGCACTGTGGGTAGCATTTAGCATGGCTACTAGCATTGCTGTTGACTCATATACATATACTGTTATTGTTCATGTAAATAAATAGACCAGTTTTTATTACTTAGCAAACATGATTTTTAACAGAATCTTTACAACTTTACTTACGGCATTGTCTCTACGATCTTCTACTGGATCAGGTGTTTTACTCTCAGACTCAGAGCATGCACTGCCTGTAGCGTTTTTAAAAATGCGTTAATGCGCTAGTAGTAGTGATGTTATGTATTGCGCCGAGGCTTCGGAGCGTGTGTCGAGTAATCCCCGAAGCATTTTGTGAAGCGTATCGAGGCTTGTATCGTTTTGGGCCAGTAACGTCATCGATGACAAACGAAGCCTCGCTGCCTGTCGATACCACGTGACTGCTTCAGAAAGCGATTCCGATCGGTTGAACCCATGTTTGAACCGTTGAACCACAACGCTCATAATACCCATGGATGTATAATAAGAACCATGGAATGGAATGGAATTAAAAGAGCTCAGACCCTCACTTATATAGAGGTCGGAACATATCATAAGTATAAATAGATACAAGCATAAATAAATGTAGGAATAAAAACATGAATAAATAAATGAATAAATACAGGAATAAATATTGTAGAGTGTTTTCAGGGAAATTCAGTGTGTGTGCTGTGAGCCTGTGGCTCAGCTAGAAAGCAGTTGACTCACGACCGCAGGGTCCCTGGTTCAACGACTGAACAATACGTTTTTTTTTTTGTATATAAAAGCTACAGCTAAATGAGATATGTAGTTAATAAATGTATTCTTTGATATGGTTTAGCCTTTCTCAGGCTACAACATGGTTAAGTTTATGAATATTATTAAGGAATACAAATCCCTCTTTGCAATGTTTACCAGCCTCCATAGGCTTTTCAATCACAATCAATAAACTGGAATAAAAACAATATTGTTAAAATGAAAATATGATTTAATGTTCGTTGTTGAGAGTTATTCCAAGGCTTTACTCATTGGGAACTCGGTATGAGATACAGCACACTGTTGAGATGTCCAATCTGGCTGTTTTACACACTTTGACCACAGGGGGGTTTGTGTTCAAATGAGGCCCATGATGAAGCCTCATGAGATGAACCCTTTTACGAACCAATTGGCTGGAAAGCTTCAAAGCTTCATAAGGCTTCATCTCGCCATCACTAGCATGATCACTAGGCTAGTAGTATCCTCCCGTGAACCGGAAGTCACTGATCCGGACGGAACTAAACAGGAAGTGACGTCAACGCAAGATGTTAACGGAAAAAATATTTACATTAGTTTTAACTATGAGTACAAACAAACAAAACAAACAATATTACTGAAATACTGAACCAACCACAAGTGTTGAAAACTAGGTAAACCAAAATATATGATATGATGAGAAACAAATTGTTTGCATAATTTTATATTATTAAACATTATTGTATTTATTATTTTTCTAATTGTACCCACATTTTTTTGTAGCTTTTTTCCAGATGTAGATACGCCTCTGCTTTACAGTGCTTTACTGCAATTTTCAGATAATAGTTGACCTGCCGCAACTTTACTGTTTTGGTTCACTCATTGCTCTTTTAAAACTCTTTTAAGCTATAGCAGCGAAAACTCTCTGAAGCTACACCTACTGCAGCAGAAAGGTAGCAGACAGGTAACACATGTAGCAACTATTGGTGAGCATAGTGGAGAATTTAGCAGCTAAACAGCTAGATGTTTTTTGCAGGAGTTGGTAGGGACCAAAAACAGAGATAAAACTGGATAATTTTAGACTTAAGTCAGGAGATCCCTAATGTATGCAACAGGTTTGCCATATCAACTTTAAGGGTGATTCTGTCAATGTTTTTTAATAACTGATTACTAATGATTAATTTGCCCCTCTTTTCTCCTTATGTAAGGTTTTTTTTCTGAAGGCCCATGGAAGAACGTGGATGAGGGCTGAGCTGTAGTGCGGGCTAAAGGCTCCGGGGCCTGCCTGTTGGCTGGTTGATTGGTCCATTTAGGTGAGGCACCACTCTCAAAAGGGGCATAGAACTGACCGAGAAAAGGTCTTTGCTCCCCTTCCTCGCTCACTCCTGCCCCCTTTCCACCCTCACCCCCAACCCTAGTCACGTACGCTCTGGACCATGTCTAGCGGGCTGTCGGAGGGGGGCCGGACAGAGGACCAGGAGCGGAGCAACAGCAAACAAGACTCTCCTGTTATAGAGCGCAGGAACCGCTGTGGCATCATCAGTGAGCCCCTCAGTAAGAGCCTTAAGAAGTCCCGTACCCTCTCCCAGTACACAGCAGTCTCATCTGCCACCAGCTATGGACACAAGGACAATAGTGAGACTAAGCGCCACTCGGCAAAGCCTCAACCGCCTCCGCAGCCGCAGCCCACTGTCTCTGCTCTGATGGCAGCCAAGTTGGACCGAACCCTGGAACAGGTGCTCGAGGGACAGAATGGCCTGCTGCACTTTGCCCAGGCAGCAGCACTTTTGAAGCGGGCCGGTATGGAGCACATGCTCCTGCCTGGGGGCATGGGTATGGGAATTGGCGGTGGAGATTCAGGCTCGGGGGGTAGCGATTTGGAGGGTACGTCTGTCACGGACGCCGTAGGTGGTCCTGTTGACTTCCCATATGGAATTGGGGGTGGTTTCCCCTTCAACCCGGGGCTTTTCATCATGACGCCGGCTGGAGTGTTTCTGGCGGACAGCGCACTACACATGGCCGGCCTGGCCGAGTACCCAGCGCAGAGCGAGCTGGCCTCTGCTATCAACTCCGGTAAAAAGAAGCGAAAACGTTGCGGCATGTGCCAACCTTGCCGACGGCGAATTAACTGCGACCAATGCAGCAGCTGCCGGAATCGCAAAACAGGCCACCAGATCTGCAAGTTTCGTAAATGTGACGAACTGAAGAAGAAGCCCTCTGCTGCTCTGGAGGTAAGTGTTATGATATGCTGTTGCATTGTGGGTTATTCTTTAGAGTTCCCGTAGAAATAGGCCTAAAACATTTAAGTTAAATTGTCATTGTGGGATCAGAAATGTAGGAACTAAAAACAGAAAACAGCTGTAAAATCTTTCAAAAATATTACACACAGATTTGCAAACATCTCAAATTTTAGCATTACACCTTCTGGGTTTCACTTTAGTGTCACTCCCTTCCGGGGACATATTACAGGGGGGCTTTTTGGTGGGGTGATGGCTCCACAGGCAGGGAAATGACAGGTGGTGAGTGATGGCTATGTGCAGCGTAAGCAGTCACCATGGGGTGTCTTTAATCTGTCCACCAAAACAACACAATCATCCTGTCAGCATCTTTTAATTGGAAGGCTAAATTACTCATCTAAAGGTAACACAAGGCCCTCTCTCATGGGCACCCTCCTTGTCCATATGTCTTAATAGTAAAGAATCATTAGGTATGAGTGGAGGCAGTGTGACAGTAATTGTAAATATTTGTACAGTTTGTGTATAAGTGTACATGCGTGGGTATGTTTGCGTGTTTGTGTGCATGTAGCAAGGTCCATCTGGCCACAGAGCTGTCATCTGGAGCACCAGGTGTCAGTGTGGCACATGCGCCCCCCCACCTCATCCCCTCTTTTTGCTGCCGCTGGCCTTCTCTCCGGTGACAGTCCTGCTCATCTAAATGTCCCTCCAAACGTCCTGTCTGTTACCTCCATCGCACTCAGTGGCCTAACTAAGCCAGCATGTGATGGCAGAATGACCAATCATGAAATCAATTTCAGCAGATGTTCCATCTCAAAGGAAATAAACTTTTTAGATCAATGGATAATCGTGTCACTTTGGCATTAGTGAATTGATGGATATGTAACACAGTGTGAACGGGAACCAGTGGAGAGGCCTCTGGTCTAATTGACACAAACTGGATCTCTGCTTCAAACTGCTAATGGCTTTACTTCTTTCTCTTTATGATGTTGATTGTGGGTGACAGCCTGGCCTCTTCTTTGTGTGATATGTTGCTTGTCCAATCCTCATGTGCTGCTTTTGGCCATCCACAGTGAAAGGCTCCTTAAAGGGCTCCTTGTGTAGAGTTTTCAGTGGCACAGAGTTGCGTAATTTTTATGCAATATTAACCTAAAGCTCAATTAGTGAATGTTCATGTTTAACATTGACATGAATATTTAAACCTTTTCACTTGTTTGTGCACAAGGGTTTGATCTTTTTAAAGGCCATGTCAATGTTCTGCTTGTTTTAAACATACCTCTAGTATTAATGACTTACTAACCCTTTTTGAAAGCATGCCATAGTGTTCTTTAGCAGAGAGTTTACATTTGCTTGAGGATAATGTCCTCTCAAGGACATTTGCATAATGAGTTGTTTCAGCATACCAGCATACAGATAAAAGTACATACAGTGTGTTTGCATTCAAGGGACAAAGCCGTAGAAATGTTGTCCATTAGGAGCAAAGGAAGTGACTTTACTTCAGAGCGAGAAAGTAACTTTTAAGGAAGAGGTCATTAGTGGCAGGGTTAACAAAACCATATATTTAAACAGAGGATTTCCTACCAACAGTCAATGCTTTCTGGTATGGCATATTGTTTACAAATGTGGAACTTGTTGGCTATAGGTTATCCATCACAGTGAAGATCATGTATGTGTTTTAGTTGAATTGTAAAGCAGAAATTAATGTGAACAATCTGCACATCATCAAACCAATAACAAACCAATAATTTTAAATGATGACAATAATCTTTGGAATGAAAGATCTCAACACATGACATGGTACATTTTGGAATAAACAAAGGTGCAAATGTTTTTTATGACAGTAAAAAGGTTGAAACATGAATTGTGGCATGGTCCCTTTGGATGGTGTGAAGTTTAAGGATTGAAATGCTTGTCTTTAAGGGACAATATTTCTAGAAGTTGAGAATCAGGCTGATGTGACTTCCTTTTGTTTTTTTCCCTGTTGCATTGTTCAGATGCAAATTAATGAGAGGCTTCATTTGTCTAAGTTGATAATTCAGCAAAAGGCTGAGATGTGTCAGCTCGCTATGTAGGTGGTACGACTCAACGTCTGCAACAGAAAGGAATTCTGTTTTAATTTATGGTTTGCAATTGATGTTGTCATGGCAGTTAGCCTAATACCAGTCGTTCACACCAGTGATGCCAAACCCAAGGGGGCTTGAATATTCATGAGTGTTGATGTTGATATAGGTCATCATTCTGCTCAAAACGTCAGTCTGCTGATGTTGCCAGAGGCCACCTCATATGAAAGACAGACACCCCAGGGTACCATAATCTGCCATGAGTACCAAGTATAATAGCCGTGTGCTTATTGGCTCAAGTAATTGTATGTATTGTAATTAACTTGCACGCATTTTGTACTCCTAACATCTGAAAGTACTTATGTAATGGGTTAGTCAAACAAAGACCTAAAGTGATAGGGTTCATCTCTGCTTGCAACTTCATTTATCATGTGACAATATTAGACAAATATTGTTTGTTTGCTGTGCGGGCAAAACGTCTCTATTATGTATATCTTACCTGCACAAAATCAGTGTTTTTGTCAAATCCATCAATCTGTAAAAATAGCTTTTAGATTAGTCAATCAGACTTGAACGCAGACACTTTTTTACTTAGCCAAAATGTCAATAATGTGAGCCTACAGTTGGACCAGTTATCAATGGATGTGAAAACATGAATAGTCAATGTGACAACAGTGAAATGTGAGAGTAATGCCTTTTTATAAGAGTTACAAGTTTGGAGCGTCCTGGATGTCTTAGTCATGACACTGACATGGAAAAAAGCAGGAAGCATTTGTGCCAAAGTTTGCGGCTTCAGCCCACACAGAAAGCGTGAATCAAACCATAACCTCAATCACCCGACAACCCACGGCATGAAATAAAATCTTTGTGACAGAGTAATCTCGGTAATATTCCCCTCTTAGTCATGTGCTTCGCATTACACATTTCTCATATGATTTGACACTGTAAAGTTTGATCTTAAAGAAACATAAAGTGACTAAACCTCTCTGCATTGCAACATATCTGACTACATTTAAAATGCATCTGGTCTGCAACCTGTTACCTCTTTGCCCTAAACTTGATTTTCAACACACTATCAACTTTGCTCTGGAAGCAGTACACCATTTTCAATTTTGCCTGCTTTTTATTTGTCCTCATGCACTCATACATCTCCCATTAGCAGTCTAGTAGTTGTCTCCAATGGCTTTGTTATTAAGTCAACAGCTATTGTTCTGCAGATGATTAGATCAGAGAATACGGCCTGGGCCTTTCTGCCATGAGCGTGGTGTCGTCAGTACAAGATAAAAGTCAGAGGAAGGAATTCACGGAGGATGTACCGAGTAAGGAGAGAGGAAGCAGTAAATCGTAAATGTCAGTAATAAGTAAAGATGTAATAATGTCAGTGACCGTTTGGTATTGTCTTTAAACAAAGCTTCTGTAAGATACATTCCTCCTTCCTCTTAATTCCCCTTAGACTTGGGCCGCACCTATGCCAGAGAAGAAGATCTTCCTGGCTTTCAGAGTGAACTGCAGTGAGCCTCAGCTGTAGCTCACACAGCCCTGAGTGTCACATCCTCCTCCAATCAAAGATAGAGCGGCACATCTCCGTCGGCTCCGGCTGTTAAACTCGCGATCTTTAAAGGGGCATGAGGTCTTATTTAACTTGTGCCTTGAAGTCAGTTTATCAGACAGTTTTGAGAGATTTGGTTGCAACCCACACTTGTGAGCACAGAGTCAAAATGACTGTTCTGAATCTGCATGTAGTGTTACTGTATTTCTCTGTATTTGTACGAGCCTGTGAGCGGAAACGCGTTGGTACACAAGTGCAGTCCAGCAGCAGTGTGCTTATTTTAAGGGTGTTGACGGTCTCCATTGAAAGCTCATGGCAGCTCAAAGAGGAGCGTAAAATTGGCAAGTGAGGGGGAGTTAGCATGCTGGGGCCTTTGCCACCTCATAGCTCACTGGCTGAAGATGTCTGGATTTATTCTGGGAATGCTACATTTGAGAGAAATAAGTGGGAAGGCAGTTTCTTTATGCTCTGCGTCTGAATACCCTCCAGTGGTGTCAGTCTCAGCGATGCCGTTCAACACAGAGTGAAAGGAACACAGTCGGGGTTAGGAAGTTGTAATATATTTTGTTTTTACTTGTATGTCACTGTACGTTCAGGATGTATTTCACCGGGGGGTGTAATATAAAAAATATCATGTGGTAAGACTGGAGTTTTTGTCTTTATACGCTTATAAAATAATATATGGTAGTAAAATTCCTTGGTTGGGTCAATGCTTCTCAGACACACCCACACCTACTAATTTTGTCCATTGGGGGCCATATGACAGTATCAGACGTTGATATGGGAGCAGCGTATTCCCTCATGGTCTTTCCTGCCTCCCAGACACCGTACACCAGACTGTCAGGACAGAAGAGGCTCATGCAAGCTGACAGGCACGCAGACTGACACCGAGACACACGGACGCGTGGGCAAGTTGCTGGGCAGACAGGGACAAGTTGGAGAGGATAGAGGAAGCAGAGTGGTATCCAAGTTGTACTGAACACAGCCTGTTGTGCATGAAGGAAACAGCCTCCTTAAGGCAGTGATAGTGTTTGTAAAATAAGTGGTAATCCACACAGTAAGCACCAATTATAGAATTTTCAGGGCAAATCACATCTAGATGATCAGAAAAAGTCTTTTTTGGCATCTATGCAAGTTGTGTTAACTGTATTCAAGTTTCAAAGCTTTTATTGTAATTTGTTCATAGCTACAGTGTAGTCATGACAATGAAAATCTTAGGTCACAGTCTGCTCCAACTGTCCAACACAATAAAACAGATCAAATAGTACACGTAAATAATATAAAATAGAATATAATAGAAACATTGCTGAATAGTCTATATACAGTAATTGGAATATTGATATATATGAGTCGCAAACAGATGAATGTTATGGATGTTCTTTCAAACATAACATTAGTATTTTAGGCACATCAGGTTATGCTCTCAGAAAATAAACCTAATGTAACTGTAACATCCATATTTCTTTTACATTTTCTAATAAATCTAGCTTGATCAAGACAAAGATTGGGCATGTTTTATGCTTTAACCATGCCCTGCCCTGACTATGAAATGTGAGCTTGGGTTCATAAAGAGAAATCGTATCAAATTTACATATCACTCACAATTGACCTCTGACAGAGAGCAGAAAAGCTTTGCCCCTAGGGCCAGACAAACAGTGAGTGTGTGTGCCAACTGGAGGTCATTGGTGTTTAGATACAGAAGCTTTAAAGGTTTACACTCGGGCTCTTTGTGAGCGGCAGACAGTGTAACATCCCACGTGCACTTCTGCATGAAGAGATGCTTTTCGTTTATGGTTTGAGTTTTTTTGTTATTGTGGGTGTTGATAAGAGGATCCTTACAATTGTTGATGATAAAGCTATGAAAAAACAACCGGAAGGCTCAGCGGTACCTTGAGGCAGAATTCATCACGGCTTAAAGTGGCTTACGGGAATTTGCATCAGTAACACCGAACAACAGCTATTACAAGTTGTGCTGGATTTAGCCCAGTTGGTGTGAGAAATAAAGAATACCTCTTTCTTTTGCTTTAGTTGTGTGTAGCACACAAACAGTTTGGCTATGCTAAGAAAAATGCTCTTGTTCATCGCCCATCGATTTTAGTGATTGGCCACTTCACACCCACAGAATCCATCTGTTTGAACCTGTACAATCAGTGATGCTGAAAGAAGGCTTTTTCTATCCCTGATCAGCTGCCATTTGACATTGATTGCTCATGTTTGATAGTGAGGAGAAAACGGGATTTATACTCAATGCGGGGTTGTGTTATTTTTCTCCCCACACATTACATCATGGTCAGTCCGGCCTTTACCAAGTTTTTGACATCTGTGGCAGCGGCAGATGTTGCTGCCCTCTGACTGTCTTCGTAACAGCTGAGCTGCTTCAGAAAGGTCACCACAGAGACGGATGGCGAGCCAACGATACTTAACACACAGACCGTGAAATAATGTTGGCAATATGTTGGCTGTTCAGATGGCCGTCCATATTAACTTTCATCTTTCAAAGGACTTCCTAAATATGTATGCATTTGCTACATCTTTGATATGAAGTTGTGAGTCTGAATTGAACTGGCACGTGCATATTCGGGTTATGAACAGCACAGTTGTACTCAGTGTCTCTGCTGTCAGATTATTCCTGATTGAGTCCATTTATCAAATAAAGCCCAGTGTGGGCTAAATTAGACCGAGACCAGCAAAGTAATGCCCTTGTTTGAAGTCTTTTTACCTGAGCGAAAATGTTTCATTTGGTCAGCAGGAGTTAACTTTCAAAATGAAAGTAAATGAAGCCTGTGGAGCACGAACCCCGCTGCCGCCCAGTTTCATGTCCAGTTATGAACAAAAGCATTCAAAAGTACACTGCTGATTCAAAAGTAGAGGAATGGTTTAAGTGGGCCTGAAATAATAATTGCTGGTATTGTTTTTTTTGGGCTTTTTGGAACTAATGGCCTAATTGCTTCTGATACCTTTGTTGAAACCTAATAATTTCCCTGCAGCTGTACCTCAGAACTGCACAACATATTTTAAGTTTGATTATGTTCAGGTTAGACATTATTATTTTGATTAGGATTACATCAGGATCCCTTCATCATTTTGTATTTAACTTTGAAAGGGCAATCGAGATGAAAAACTTGACAATATTGATACACATTCTGATTTCTCTTTGTTTGGCAGTTTTTTGGCAGTGACTCACCAGCAAAGAGTTGGGACTAGTGCTGCAGGTCCATGAGAGAATCAGGAAGTCCAATATGACTGTTAACACTGCTGAGATTTAACACAACATATGAAAGTTGCCCTTATCAGAATAAAAAAGATCAGATTCAATTTGATTCGTGCTGTCTACACTTTTTCAAAAGTTCACATATGCACAAAAAAACAAACATATTTGTGTTTTTTTTTGCTTGCAGTGTGAGCATGATGTAGATGTATATGTTCTGTTTCCTTTTCCATTAGATAAGTGTGATTGTATGCATGTGTGTGTTTATCTCATAGTATTAGCGATCCCATATAAAACCCTCTGCTGTAGATGGAAAAGTAAATCTGAATCCATCCTGTATGAGAATTTTATTTTAACACTTTCACTGTTTGGTGTGATTTCGGGGGTGTATTGTGAGTGTCGGTTAACGTGCCACTGTGTGTGGAGGTGTGTGACTGCACTTGAATACATATTGGTTCGGTGTGAGAGTGTGTGTGGGTGCATAAATGTTTGCCGAGCTCCAGGCAGAGCTGGAAGAATCCGTGCTGCAGTAGAGTTGCACTTTGCAGGACGCCACGAGCGGCTCTCTATCTCCTGACTGTCAGGCCGCGGCTGAGCCCTGCAGCTCAATGCATGTGTGCCACTCTGCTCACTGCAATAAGAGAGAGAGAACGCCTCAGTGCGAGAGAGTGAGGGACAGAGACCGGCAAAATCATTGATGATGCTGTGGGAGAGCTACGCGTGTGGTGGCTAAATAATAAATGTGGGATATCGGGTTTTGTGTGTGAAGCCAGACTAAAGACTGTTCCGGTAGCTGTGCTGAGGAGAGAGGGTCACACAATGCAGGAGTTTTTACATTTGGAAGAAAGAGTGGAATAGAAGCTAATCAACTGGTTGTTGGATTTCCTTAATAAACTCAAAGGGGCCCTCTCATGCTTTTTGGGGTTTTCCCATTCCTTCAGTGTGTTATATAGATTTTTGTGCATGTAAATGGTCTGCAAGGTCTAAAATCCTTTCTCTCCCCCCCTGTCTGAAATGCCTTGATTAGACTCCTTTGTTTACTTCAGTAACATATGGCGCTTTTCCACTGCAGGGCCTCGCTCGGCTTAGTACGGTATGGCTAGGCCTCGTTAGGCCTTGTTAGGCCAGGCTCACTTTATGCTGCGTTTCCATTACAGTTTAGGAACTGGGGTAGTAACTATAGTAACGCAGTGTAGGCGGAGCTGTGACGTCATCTTCAATGCAAACATCAGCCGTTAGCTGTTAGCGCTCAGAGCTCACAGCTCCTCATATCTGTTCAGAAACTCGACAAAAGTTAAACAAGTACAAACCGAAGACTGTCTGTGTTATGGCGAATACAGTCACTGGTTTATTTGCCGTTGTTGTGAGTGTGGACGGTCGGAGCATATACTGCGTTATAGCTTAGCTGATCTCCATTCAGAAAACACGCATTTTAAAAGGTTTTCGCCTGCCGTCTGTCTACAGACTTGTCAAAGCATTAATTCATGGTTTTTACTAACCCGGTATCAGTATGTTGTTACTTCGGCATCATTTTGAAACCTGTATTACAATTAAATCACGGTCAAATATGTTCATTTTGTTGTACAGTAGTTGCCAGCGATTCTCTCACTAGTTTAGCATACTAGGCCCGGTTGTTGGCCCGGAAAGAAACTCGATTTTTGAGGGCCAGAAAACTGTGAAAAAGTACCCGCTAGCCGGAACTACCCCGAGTGGAAACGCAACCAAAAACGGGCCGGGCACGGCTCCGCGCTGTAGTGGAAATGCGCCATTAGTGACATCACGATGTAACACTCGCGCTTCTATTGGCTAGCGCTCTTACACTTCGTATGTGATAGGCTAAGGGGCGGGACATCTCTAAGCGGTTGATCAATCACAACAGAGCCGGCCAGCTAACCAACAGAGCAAACTGGGCTCTGGTTTCAGACAGAGGGTGAAAAGAGGTGCTGCAGCACAGGCAGTATGAGAAAAATAAAGACCTTTCTGAACATTAAAGCATGGAGACATGTCCCAGTAGAGACACGACATACTGATATGAACCTGAACATGAGCACAATAGGGCCCCATTAAAGATATTCTGCTTTTGAGTGTTGATTTACATGGTAAATTCAGTACCTTTAGATGTTGGACTTTTAGTTGTAAAAAAACACAATATGAAGACTCCACCTTTGTCTCTGATAACGTCTATTATTTTCCTTTATTCACATAACTTTTTTTTTAGATAAATCCATAATGAGACTAATCATTGTAGCCCTAAACAAAATAAAATCAGAAAAACATTCCTCTTTTTAAAGTGTGAAGAAATTATAGATTCCCAGTGAAGTTGTAGATTTGGGGTGTATATTTGCAAACACTTGTATAAATGTGCTGTTTTTCATTAACAACTCTAACACCTCTTCTCTCTCCCCCCTCTCCTCCCCCTCTCCTCCCCACCTTGTCTTCTGTTTTCTCCATGAAGGTGATGCTTCCTACAGGAGCGGCGTTCAGGTGGTTCCAGTAGGACTCCTCCACTCCTACCCAAAGCTCTGCCATCAAGTGCAATGCCAACTCCTGGATTGTCTCCGGAAACAGACACTGGCTAATAAACAAAAACAAGCAACACATAAAATGATAGAAAAAAACAACAAAAAAAACAAAGCAGAACAAAAAAAAGAATCAATCGGGGTAATGGATGCACCTGCTTATTCCTTGAACCAAAAATGAAGCGTAAAGAAAAGCATATGGCAACTTTCATTCCCTTTTCTATGTTTCCATTTTGGTACCTTTTGTCCTTTTTCCAGCAGGTTTTTTTCTGCCGCTTAAACATGGAACTGTCTCATTGCCAGAAACAGAAATGACGGACTGAGTGTGGACAATCAACTAATTTCTGTGTTTGGTGTTAATGTTGTTCATGTGTGGAAAGATACAGTACTTGTGTAGAGAATGTAAATTTACAGCTATATTTCAAAACTAGTGGCTAATGGCAAAACATTATCGTAATTCTTCACCATTATGTTACTTAAACCCTTGTCTATTTTATAATTCATTTTGTTGAAGGGTCTAGTTTTCAGACGGATCGATGGGTATCTTTTAAAGACAGAAAAAAGGGAGAAAATTGAATTTTACAAGTTAAACTAAAGTGAAAAAGTAATGTTATGTTAGGCTAGGGGTGTCCAAACTACGGCCTGGGGGCCAACTGCGGCCCGCTGTCCATTTTGAATGACCCTCAGAAAATTCTTAAACTATAATGGAATATGGCCCACACCTGAAACTTGTGCTTTTCTTCGATTGTACTTTTTAATATATATGTATAGTAAACAGATAATACACATTAGTATTCCCACTTTTCAAATAAATTCAGTCAATTACATTGGAAAACATTTTATATCACATCTTAGTTGATAAAAAAAAGCCCAATACCTTATTTGCATAACAAGTTTGAAATATACCCTTCCTATTTCCCCTTATTATAAGCAGTATGAGGATTCTGTTTTAAGGAATGAGCTGCCAACATTTTTTGTAACAACATAAGTGAAATATGGGCTGTTTATTTTCTTAATGCAAATTCAAGTATCAAGAATAATTGAGCTAGATTTGATTGGATTTGATAACCTATAACTTCACTTATGATGCAATATACCTCACCTCTAGTGAATGGCCCAGCCCTTCGAATATATTTCTGTACGTGGGCCTCAGTGAAAAAAGTTTGGACACCCCTGTGTTAGGCGGATCTCCAGAGACTCTTCTGGGTTTGCCACTACTGTAATCTCTTCAATCAGCCCTCTTCTGCAACTCCAAACTTTTCCTTTAGTGAAACTGGCAGCCCAATGTTACTCTGGCCCTACTGAGCATGTGCCAAAACTGCTCAGGGCAAAAAATGCTAAGAAACAGCACTTGCTCTGAGTCTACCCTACTGAACGCACTGAGACAAGATTACATTTCTTTTTACTTTGTTGGTTATTTGTTATATTTCATGATTTTGTTATGTTGCTGGGTAGCTACAGCTTTTAAAAATAACCAATCTTTGTATTCGTTTAGAAAATTGGACTGGTTTTGTGAATAAAAAGGAATGCATGTATTTGTGTCGAAATTTACAATTCTGATGTTTGTCTTCTTGTCTATTTGCATGTTGTTTCCCCCCCCAAAAAAACTGCTGGACAAAAAGAAGCTTTAAAAATACATTTTCCATGAGTTTCAAAAAAAGTGTTCCCTTATCTTTCATAATTGGATGGTGTTGGAAAATTCATCAAAGATTCGGACGTGAGCAGAACTCATTAAAAGTAAATCAGGCGGCGGTATGGATGACCATGATGTCCTTGGTTTGACTGAGATACTTCTCTCACTGCCTATGTAATATCTTCCTACAGTGCAATGACTGATGGAGCCTTGCTATGCTAAGATGTAACCAAAATGATTTAAAAGATGTTTGAATAAGAACAATTCTGATTGCAGTGTTTCTTCAAATTTCATTACACCTCTGGGAAATCCTCCCACATGATTTTTTTAACTCTCTGTCACTCTTCTGAGCCTTCTCGTGACATTTACAACCGGAATATCTTTACTAGTCATGGATTACTGATTGGAAGTTTGTTTTCAGAGCTATTAAGTCAATCCAGAAGAAGCCTGGATAAAGTGTCTGGATGCGTCAAGCATACATGGAGTAGAAGTTTGGATAAAGACTAGTTAAAGCAATGCTAATTCCCCAAAAAAAACCTTTCTGAAATGTGGTCAATCTCACATGGTGTAATTACTGATTATAATGCCTCAGGTCTGTGACACTAGAGCGAATTTCCATTTCCTGCTCGTGATGATTCTCAGTGATTTTTTTTCCCTTCACGGCCCCAGAGTCACTCTTTCATATCCAGGTGGGGAAATAGATGCAGATTCTTGTCTCTGCCGTAGTGCTGAGTGTTTTTAATTAGTGCATTTCCTCGGTGGAAGGCCCAGTACGGGGATCTTGTGTACGAGCTCGTGATCAGCTTGGCGAGCCGTGGGCTGGAGAGAGTAGCTATATACCCCCCC